TATAATGTATAATTTTTATAGTTTTAAAATATTAATTTATTAATAATACTATTTTAAGTCAACTTGAGTCAAGTCGAGTTTGAGTCGAGTTTAAATCGAATCGAGTTAAATATTTAACTCGATTTAAATTTGATTTGACTCGCAAATCATCAAGTCAAAAAAATATAAACTCGACTTGATTTAAACTCGACTCGGCTTATCTAACTTGTAAGTTAACTCGACTTGTCCGGAACTCTACTCAAAATGACTAGTTCTTGACTAAAATTCATTGAATTTTGAGCTTGTAAGTTTACTGTATTCACGCAATCCATAATTGTTTTTTGTAAAGATAAGGTAATGAGAAACAGAATATTTCATAATAAAACTTAGAATAAAATGAAAATAACAGATTATCTTCAATATTCACATATTTATCAACATTCTGATAAGATCTTGTATTTTTTGACTATAACTGGTATTTTAAAAAGCTTCTCTTATTTCAATATTAACACATATTTCTTAGAACTACTCAGATGTAAAAACTTGTATGTTAAGACCTATAACTCAAATTATCTCAGTTTATTAATACTATATTGCAAATTCATTATTTTACTTACTTAGGTGAAGCATGCCAGTGACTCTCAGTTTCTTACTTTAGTTTCTTTGAATAGACTTGTTTACTCAGAAATATTAGTATATTGTGTATAGCTTTACTTAGTTTATATCCATCAATTAATAATTTAGTTTCATTAAATGCCTTAGTTACTTCAATCACTTTATATTCAATATCATTGATATATGTTCTAAATATTCTATTCATATGAGATCCTATTTTTTTATGTTTTGTATTCTTATAATAAGTTCATATCTCTTTTGATTTTTTCTTGTGAATACTGCCTCACTTGAAGACTCCTTTCTATGAAACAAAGTAAGTAGAAATTCAAAAATATATGAAAATGATCATAGTAAGAATTCACCTGATAGTCTCTATTTTAATTAAATTTCAGAGTTTATGATCAATTATTAAAGACCACATATTAATATCATGCTAAGATTCAAGATGTGACTTATGCAGTGTTCAATTAGGATCTTCATAATCTGTAAGGCTTTTTTGAGATTTTTGAGATGTATTTGTTATTAAAGCTCTTACAACAAATAAGAAATATACTTATTACTATATTTATCCATTTAGCATCATAGTATTTCTTTCAGTCATAAGGCTCATTCTTATTTCGGTAAAATGTTATTTCTAAGATGTGTTTTAACTCAATTATTATTTTAATCTGATGTTAGCAATATCAAATAAAAATTTAGACAAATTAAAAAAAAATGATTACTTCTTCAACTTATATTGGAAAATCGCATTACTGACTTAACAAAAGTTTTGTCAACTTCTAGTAACTTTTTGACTTCACAACATAATTCTTTTCATTCTTTAGCTATAAATAGTGTCCTGCCTCCTAATCATTCAAATAAATAATCCATGAATATAAAAGTGATTTAGCTAATAATTTATTGCAATGTTTGAAGATAACATCCTTGATGCATATTTCAGATGATAAAATCCACTTTTGAGTCTCTTTCATTTTTACGTAAGATTCATCAAAACACATAAACTGTGAAGATGTCAACAATTGTGAAGGATCCGCAATATCACTTGTAATATAAATAGAAATGAATTATAAACTTAAAAAAAATTGAAGAAATTTAACCAAAGAATTACCTGAGTCTGTATTCTGAATTATCATTCTCATCAGATAACTTTGAAATGAAGTCTTGTGCTTTAGACTTAGCTTAGAAAAGAATCTCACTGATTAGTAATTATTCAATCTTTTGATTGCTATGAATAGTCATATATCATGACATTAAAATAATTTGTTTCAATATGAAACTGATCTTATCTTTCTCGTTGACCATATTGCTTAATTTCTACCGTTTATTGGCTAAGTTGTTCATTTTTTGCAAAAACAGTTTAGATGATTTTTTTTAAAGGAACTTTTAAAGAAATTATCTATCTTGTCACTTTATCATAATCATCCTAAAATATTAAAATACAAAAATTATTCTTTGATTCTAAAATTCCAAACAAAAAAAATGCAAATATATATCTTTTTTGATTGCTTTTATTTGAACAATTCAGAGAAAATTCCATCTTCAATAGTTCCAGTTCTACCATTAATATTCCTAATTCTAAATGATGGATTGTGAATATAAACAGATACTGATCTATATCCACTTGTGCACTTATTACTCCATTCTTTTGCTTATTAGCATTTGGTATTAGATCTAAAATTATCTCAAACTAAGTTAACAATCTAATAATCTTAATAACAAAGGTCTTTCCTAAGAGAAATTAATGATTAACAAACAAAATAATTTGTTATCATAATTCACTTGTATAATAAGTTATCATGATCAATCCTATAATAAAGACAAGAATAAGATTAAAAGTGTAAATAATAACTTTATTAACTTGTAAAGTTATAAGTCTAATCCCAAGATTTATTCAGAAAACTATCTGATTGAATTCTCTTTGAATTCTGTTGACTTAAGGTTAACTTAAAATTCTAGATGAATCGAATTAATTTATAAGTCAAATAAGCCAAGTCAAGTTTAAATCAAATCAAGTTTATATATTTTTGACTCAATAATTTGCAAATCAAATCAAATTTGAGTCAAGTTAAATATTTAATTTAAACTTGACTCAAACTCAACTTGACTCAAGTTGACTTGAAATAGTATTATTAATAAATTAATATTTTAAAACAAAAATTATACATTTTAATAATTGAAATACTTTATAATAGTTGAAATATATTAATAGTTAATAATTGAAATTTATTTTATTAATTTAAATTA